TATTTCGTCGACATTCGATTGAGAAAATGGGGGGAGAGATTGCCTGGTCAATGAGTATGTGTCTGGCATTTTTGAGAAACTATTGTTCAAGGAAGCAATACTGGGGGGATTTTTATATCTTTTTATTAAGACTCTTAAACAAAATATAATTTATCTGGTGGAAGAGTATTTTCCACTCTGTTCACGAAAATATTTTATTGAGGGGAGCAAGAACGTGTGGAGAATAGAACCGGCTGATGGATTAAATTTTTCCTTGATCCTCGCATTTTTTTCGTGAACATTAATTCATCGTGGCACGAAATACTGTGGGGGATCGTGTGGTGTCCATGAGATGGGTATATTGACGACCGAGGAATATCACTAGGAGGACGTTATTTTGCTGGAGACTCTTATTTTCTTGACGCAAACTCAATTTCCACGCGAGAAATTTGAGCTTGTGCATGAACATTAGAACCGGTGACTGCAATATGCACTTTGCAGCGTGAAATTGACGTATCAAATGAAATTTCACAACTTGCATCAATTTCGGGGGAAACACTATTATTCGGTATTGAATTATGATGAACTTTTGCTATTTTTACTGAGCAATCGCTAAATTCGTGATGGTAGAAAAGAAGTTTCTAGTTTCTCGATTAGAACAGTTTTCTTCGAGCTGGAATCTTCTTTTCTGCACTGTTAGAAATTTCTTGGAAGTTCGGTAGTCGTGTCATCTGAATTTTCAATTCGGTGAATTCTAATTGTTTTTTTTTATTTAATTATATAATATTAATAATGCCCCATGGAACAAGATCTGAACGCCAGAATTACTTGCGTATTCAAGAAAGTAATGAATCTATCAATCACGACTTTTATTAATAATTATAAATAGATATTAATAATAGATATTTATTTATTTCGTCAATCGCGCGTAACATTTTTTAATAGACCTTTAATAGAATATTTCTGACGTTAAACAAAAAATCGAATTCCCCGGAATTGACAACAGCAAGAATAGCGTCAAACCCGTCACTAACCGGAATCCATTGAGATCGCACTGTTGAGAATATAATTCTTTTTTTTCTGAAGCTAAAAATAAAGCCCGATGTTATTGAAAATTGGTGATTGATGGGCCAAACAATAGGGAGTTGCCGAATAGTTTGAAAAATACGGGCAATTGAAAGTGGACCGACAAGCTCAATACTATTTTGATGTTATGTACCCACTCCGTTGGTGAGGAACACGTACAACAATTCCTACAATTTGCCAAGTACTCCCCCGGGTACAGTATAAACATTCACCACTATTATAGAATATCTGAATTTATGGCTCTCCCATCCAACAATAAAACACTGATCTACCCGAGGGTTTTTCAATTTGTCCGTTTGTTAATAAAGTTGATGAGGTGTCACATGGGAATCTCCACAACTTCAGGGAATAAAACCGATCTCAGTCAGAACTTATAAGGGGATTTCCATAGCAGTGGTCAGACCCATTTAGTCAGATGCAACTGGGTGTAGATAAACTGTGACTTAGTACTGTTCCTCTGTTGAAACTCTAACCCCGTAACCTCTTCTTTGCCGGCTGCTCTTCCACCACAAACTCCTGGCTACCAACTGTCCAGGCAAACTTTAACGTCCTCATGTTTCTTTGCCCCATTTCCGCCAATAAATAACCCCAAAATCCGCTCAAAAAATATCATTATCGGGTGATCAATTTCCCTCGTGTTTCAGTCGACCCTGTCTATTGTAAAAACGCTCATTTTTTTCTGGATGAAAAGACAACGGAACACCATTTCAGATTTTTTTTTTATCGTGTATTTTCGCACCGGTGGCCTTTGGCGGTTGTCGGACCGTCAGAAAAATGATTCTTGACTCCAAGTGGCAACCGGGGCTATCACGCACCAGTCTCGTTAGTCTAGGGATAATCGAAGTGGAATCGGGTTTTTGGTAATCGCCTGAGAGCTTTTCTGATAAAATCCAATTGAGTTAATTCGTTCTTTCGAATTCGTTGTCTTTTCGTTGTCCCAGAGAAATTACCCTTCATCTTCAGAGCAATTACCTTAATTCACTCGAATCCAAATTCATTAACAAAACGTCTCTTTTGTCAGTGTAAAATATTGTTGTCCTGAATTTTCGAGGGATGAATTTCGCCGCAGAATAAAATGAGTTTCTCCGTGCCGAGAAACAATTGGGCCTCCACCGCATTTTCGATCAAGTGATTGAACGATCGACTGAACACGCATTTTTACATTTTCACCTATTCCCATACGTTACGACTCCCATTGTTCCCGGTACCATTTTATTTATATTTCTCACGCTATTTCTTCCAATAATCGAATGTCGTCCGGATATCGCAGGCAGTAGTTCTGGCATGTGGCCAACTATCTTCGGATCTCACGGGTAAAAGCCTCGCACTATCGTCCACATAGAACGCACATATAGTGGCGGTATGTATTCGTAGAAGCCACACAAGAATATTGTCGAGGCCATAGAACCTTGCCAAATTGACCGAGAACGATCAGACATGTATATGGTAACCCATAAAGTATCCGTTAAACCCGACAATGCACTCATCGTATCACCCGATTTTTTTACACATTAATCAATTGCTAATCTACCCTCACAGCCCCAACTATCCACCGAAAATTACCGAACAATAACGAACTATTCACGTAAACCGAAACAAATCTGTTCCGCGGAAATGATTTCAATCGTTAAGCAAAAATTAGTTGACTGATTATTCTCTTGTGATTTAGATTTTTCCCTGAGATCAATAGGAACGGTGGAAATTCCACTTCGATAATAATCGAAACAACATTTTCCTCCACAAACCAATATCGAATATAACAGTTGACATGATCCAATAGCTACCGGTGAAATAAAGGATGACCTGTTGTATGCTCTTCTGTAACATTTCGCCGTTTCACTACCGAAATGATTTTCCTCTCACAAAGGAGTCTAGCGAGGCCTTTGAGTATAGAACTCCATTGAATCATCGATAAACCGAAAAAAAACTCAGCAGCAAAGGCCTGCAATATCCAACTGATTCCCAAAATCGATGTGTTTACTGACATTGACCAATTGTCCTCATCCAAATTGATTGATAAACAATCCAAATCGTTTGGCACAGTCTCTCGGATTTATTTAGTAACGCCAACAATATTAACACGCCCCAATTATCGATAACACAGGATCGGTGTTTTTAAACGCATCAATTATGCGATAGAAAATGAATGATAGAAATCGTGAAAGATAAAAAAGTAATGACAAAAAATCGGTGAACGTCCGTGCAATCGATAGCTCGCGTTCACTCGATTTATCATGGTGGTGGGGAAAAGGCTTTTTCACATTTGCATTTGCGTGTCAAGGGAGAGAAGCGGGCGGAGAGTAATGTTTCCCCAGTAAATCCCCCATTACGTATCCCTGGGAATTTTGTCCCGTCAGTTGAACCGAGAATAATTCGATAGTGTTTACGAAGAGGTGAGCGGCTACCATTTGACCGCTGTTCTTTGACTCTATTCTATCCCCCCATACATATTCATTCGATAATAAAAAATACAGTCAGTGAGACTACGCATATGCATTCGAACAAGAGTTTTTAAAAATGTACAAGGCACTGTTTACACAGCTTACGTTGGGGATATGAATTCAAGATTTTTTTTCCATCCAACTGTTGTCTGTGTTAATTAAAAGCCCACGGTAACCTATTGTGCAACGAGCCTAGGGAGAATATTTTTTTTTTCCATGGAAATACCCGGGAGAAATCAGCGAATCAGTGGGTAAGAGTCTATTGAATTAATATTGAGTTCATGTTTTTTCTCTGCATCATTAAATTTATAATTGACTTTTAGATGTGCGCAATTGGGACGTCATATCTTGTGTGAGGGGATATTAAAAATAATTTATTATTTCCGCGCGAGGGATTTCTTGGAAAGAAGATAGAAGAAAAAATGTAGCAAAAAATGTTTAGAGTCAATCCGGAGAATTGGGAGGAATGGGATTTTCAGGGGGAAATTCACAGATATTTTTGGCGGGCGCGTTCTTGAATTTTAATTAGGGCGAAAAGTGTTGAGTTTATGGCAGCGGTTATAGTCTCATTTGATGTGAAGGTCGATAAATATCTAAACCCCTTTGGACCGTCTGCTTTAATAATGTGAAAGCAGAATTAGTTGCAGGTAGTCATGTGGGCCGGCATACTTGCTGTTACAATGATTTTCAAATATTAAATAAATTCCAAATCCTGGCTATCCAAGAGAATCATCTCAAGTTTAATAATTATTCTAAGTGAAGATATAGTAGAGATCAGAAGTTTTTGGAATAGAAATATACATAATTTCCATCGGACTAAAATCAGCAATCATAAAGAGCTTTCTGCATTCACGGGCACATAAAGAAAACTGAAAATCGTAAAGAAAACTGAAAAAACTTCTCATCTAGCCATTACCAAATATCTTGCTGCCATCACGAGCGATCTGTATGCCCGGATCCCCATCAAACTGTCAATCTTCTTTGACGAATTCTTTTGAACTTGCCTGAAACAGTATCCGCCCGAGATAAAGAAAAAAATCGAAGATTCGTCTAAATGAAAAAAACCTCATCTGTACTTCTAAAACAACACTAAGAGTGGAGCTTCGCTCATCAATTGCTCAACGAGACAAACGAAAGAAAAGAGCTCTCCCCGCAGAGACCTGAAACCATCAGTCTGGGATGCCATAACAGTTGGTCCGATATATGCACCAGACAATCGTCTGTTCGAAAACCATTACAAGCCCTCCAACTTGAACATTGTTTTCAGGTGGAGGTTTTTTCCTTTCCTCCCCCCAGATGGAAATGAAAGATAATGAGAAAAAAACTTGGTACATGACCGCGTATATAGAAGAGGAGAGAGACATGGTGATGCGTGACCCAAAGTGAAACATAGGAGAAGAGCCCCCGACGAATAAGTTGGACACGCTTGCGCAATGTTACTAGAGGAAAACGCCGACGTATTCGCCAGTCGGGTCTTTAACTCCGGACCGCGTATATCGTAGATCCCGGTGGAGTCGCGGTGCAGCATCCAAACAGATCGCGATACCATCAAGTCCAACACCCACTTGCTCCGACCATTGTCAATCCAATCCACACCCTTGACTGATCAAATCATCCAACACCTCCCAGACGTTCCCCAAAACACCAATTAACACTCCAAACACATCAACGACTAATTACCGCAAAATTTAATTAAAACAGTGAAGTAAATTTGGTAACAGTTAATTGGGAATTTGATCGGAGGGGTCTGGCAAAATTGACACAATTTCGTGTATCCATCGTAACGTGGAGAAAGACTTTATTCCACCCGTGTGGATCACTCATGCCAATGTGAATCTCAACGTAATTGGAAGCCACAAATACAATTCCGATTGGTGGTAGAACAGCGTGGGAAAAGTAGGTCGTACATTAAATGCGGTTAGCAATTGCTTGGGGTGTATGTATCAGTGAGTTATACCGTGGAACAGTCTCATTCATTCACCAACTCCCAACGGGAAATTGTATCAATAAGACTCATTACCGATAGTCTGAAGACCGTAGTGTTGATTCACCATTACTAAACAGTGAATTCTGAATTCTCAAATATTACCACAGCCGGCCAATGACCTGAGATCACTGGGAATTCACTATTAAATGCATCTCAAGTTGAAACAATAAACGCATTGGCGGATCCTCGGCATTCCTCCGTAGAATTTCCTAGCGTTGGAATTCACGAGATGTTACAAGTACGCTTGTGTTGAGGCAATTGCTCTTGACTGGGAGGGTAAAAAAATTGGTCGTGCATTGTTTTCCGGTCGTCTTATATCCCCAGAAAATTCAAAACGAAAACATTCCTTCGTCACGGATGGAGATCACTGAATAATTCAAATTCCAACGTCGACAACGTCAGTTGTTCGTGAGAAGACTCGAGCTGGAGAATACCTTTACGACTGTGTTCTGCATATGAAAATACACCCCAGGGAGTTGTGTAAAACTCGATAAAACCGGCCCGTCATCGTTTTCCCGTATTTTCGTATCAAATTCAGGGGGAGCAGTTGCTCCATCAACCTGTACACCCACTTCGACGTGGTACCTACCTATTTCGACACGGTACCTAAGATCGAGCAAGCTTTACGAATGACGTGTCCCCTCGGGACTCGTGTCCGATCAAGATAAATTGGAGTCTAGCTAGACGAGAGGAGCATCGATCAAGATTGAAGGTGCAATATTTGGAAGGCGTATAAGGAATTTTCCTGTACCAAAATGAAAAAGGTAGATTAGAGTGGAGTTGATTCTCAAAGAGTTGATTCTACCTGACGCCATTCGAGAGTCCTTGATAAATTCTCATAAACTGGAATCATCTCTTGAATTATTGTTTCATCTTAATGCCATCATTCCCATCGGGTTCACGAGTAACCCAGTGCCCGATCAAGATGAATTGATGTTCATCAGAACATCAATCAAAATTGAAGGTGCAATATTATGAGAACGGAGAAGAATTCTGGTGTACCACAATAAAAAGCTGAATCGGAGTGAGGGTGATTGTGCAAGTTCCGTGAATTAACCGGAGAGTTATTGAAAAATTCCGATGAACTTTCCACCGAAGGAGAACACTCTTGGGACAGCAGTTGTATCATGATCTGAAGGACACTCTTCATCTTCAATTATTGTTTCATCTTCCGCCTTCGGAGTGTGTCCACGGTCAAGGTTCACGGATGACATGTCCTCCTGAGACTCACGTCCGATCGAGATAAATTGAAGTCCAGATAGACGATAGGAGCATCGATCAAAATTAAAGGCGCAACATTGAGAAGACGTAGAAGTAATTCCGATGTGCGAGAATAAAAAATAAACTCGATTAAAGTGAAGTTGATCGTGCAAGTTGGCCAGAATTAACCCGAGAGTTGAAAAATAGTGATAAGGTATCAACCGCAGCTCTACTGAATCACCAAGAGAAGAGCAGTGGGAGAGAAGGGCCGTGGCACCACGATTTGAAGACCACTCTTCATCCTCAATTCTTGTTTCATCTTTCACTATCAGCCACAACTTGATATGCCAGAGGCAACCTAATTAATCACGGTGCACTAACGAGCTTGCTGGGATCCCCGCGGTCTCACGGACCCCCACCTCCTTAACGACACCCACGAGAGACTTAACTTGCAACGTCGCTGCTTGTGTATGTGGCACAGACAGTAGCTGATCTTACTCTGTTAAAGAGGGCAATATCTTCTCAAGAATAGAAGCGCAGCCACTCAAACGTACCTCAGTGTAGCAAGTTACGATGGCCCTCAGCATCGGTATCATCAGTTACTCGATAACAAGCTTTTAGCCTTTTTTGACCGAAGCTTACAGCACACCAATGGGTATGTATACCACGTTTTCAAATGCTGAATTGAGGACTCTTGATGGTATCCGGTGAAATTGAGTTTGACTACGTCCAATTCCACCACACTATTTGCTGTACGATCGAGGGATATTCTCCGAATTGAAGGACATGCATGATACGTTTTATCGGGTTGCAGTCATGATGATATTGTGCGCCGATCAACAATCCAAATAATTACACCGACAGTTAAAGAAGAGAGTATCAAGACGATTTGGTGAACTTTGCCTCGAGTGTGCTATCCCAAATTCGTATTGAGCTTCATCGAATATCCTCCAGCTCAGTGAATAATTGATCACTTGAAATGGTATAATCCAGCGATTCGATCCTGCATGTGCGACGAAAGCATCTGGGTTATGGCATGAGGACATTATCAGTGAAAGCAACCTGCGGGCCCAGCGAGGTGGAGGATGAGGATGGTGATGGGTGTCATGGTGCTGGGTCAGCTTTTGATGAGGATCCTGTTGGCTGCTCATGCCGTAGATCGGCTGGCAGCTGCCCGCAGGATACTTCGGGATGTGCCACTCATAGATGGGTAAGCTCAAATAGACAGCAGACTGCCAACTACTTGGTTGCACAGGGGGATTATGTTATGAAAAGTTGAATGGGTTTAATAAAGTAGGTTTAATATGGAGAACGCGATGGTGTGAAGGAAAGAGAGAAGAAAAAACAATATCAGTTGAGGGTTCCATAAATATGTTCACCGCGAAAATATCGCCAATAAAGCTCATACAGTTATACAATATGAGGGTTCATTTTTACCGAGACTGGTAAGTCCGATGGTACTTCCAGGAGTCGTTGTACAGTCGGGTTATATCAGCCGGGATATAAGCCAGCCGCAAAATATCGCTTATGATAATGAAAAAGTTTGCGACATACGTCGAGAGCGGCTCTTGCCTCAACTTTGAGCTTTCTTATTTTGATTCTCTGGTGTATGTAACGCAACTCGGAGACATCGTTTTTTCAACTTTAGCTGCACACTTGGAATATCCGATGTGACTCTTCCTCTCTTCGTGTCTAGGATCTTTTTCATGGCTTTGTACGGCTACGGTGTATCGACGTTCTCATCACAAACAACTTCACTCACATCAGAAAGCCAACGAATACGTCCTTTGTCGAGTCAAATTGCATCCTTTCTTCCCTATTTTTTAAATTCACTGGGGATTCTGGTGAATAAAATCGTTTTTCAACTGGCAACTCGATGATCTGGGGATGGGCTTGAGGAAAAATTGCTTCGTAAAGCCCTGGTTTGCATCCATCTTCAGGGATTCGATGGGGACGAGGTTAATATCTTCGTGATATACGTCGATGCCATTTTCATCTTGAAAAACAATTCATGAATTTTCTGGGTTTATGCGCGTTGGTAATAAAAATAACCATCATAACTTTCCACTTTGTCGTAATGTCTTTTTATGCCCTCCAGCTGGGATTGAATGCGACGGGAAGATAGACTTTTAGTTCACCGATTGTAAACATATTTTTATCGGGGCACGCTTTGGGATTTTACTACAGATGATTTGTTCTGATTATTCTGGACTGCTGAATTTCAATGAATGCAAGTGCTAAGTGCCGGGGGGAGGGGAGGAGGGTGGTAGGGGGCAGAGTGAACTTATTTTGAAACGAGGTGATCTGAGTGCTTTCACTGGGAGAAATATCGAGAATTTTATGGGTAACCCACATCCGGAAAGCAGTTCAGCAGACGAATTGTAAAATTTGAGATTTTTACTTGAACATATTCACCTCAATACTGCCTTTTTCTTTTCTATATACCTTGTCAGTTGATTGTTGGAATTCAGTAAAAGGGTTAATCGATTATCGCTTGGGATTATGAAAAATCTGGTATTTATTGGAATTCCAAGAGGGACTTGTTGAATATTTCTGAGATTTTCCGCTCAAAAAGTTTACACTGCATGTGAATTATTGGTAATGGTAATTTTCAGGAGAACGTCATTGAATTGCTGACAGAGGGAAATAAGTCATGTAATTTAAAACTTTCCAGAAACTTCAAGAAAATTTCACATTTTTAGGGACTAGAACGGTGGGAAATCGTTTGCAAATTAAATGTTCAAGTACATCTTGCATGATACAATGTTAAAGGTCCACGACCGATTACAATGATTCCTCGATATTCATCCCAGCCCTTACAAATATTAAAAGATGACGATATAAAAAGACACGCCGGTGCATGATAAAAAGACCCAGTGAAAAAGCTCAGCGGTATGACCTCCGTGAAAGACAAATTTGCAAGATTAACCGCCAGTAAGGAACTGAATGATCTAAAAAGGCGCGGATCCTCCCCTCGACTTGCCCCAGCATTCGATGAAAAGCGCTTATTCCACCACCACGAGAAAACCTCAGAGACACACAGCAAGTTGAAAAAAAAAGTGGCTAGGGGAGGCTTTGGCGCAAGAAACGCCAGTGGAAAATACGAGATATAGTTCGACGTACTTTTATTTTTTTTCTCCCCAACGATCGATGTGTGCGACGCATCCTGTACAGGGAGATATGAAATGCGGCCGTCACCTCGTTCTTCCAAAGTAAATCGCTTCGTTGGTAGTCATAGCGCTTTTTCATCGTTTGTAGAACTACGTATCTCGCATGAAATACGAAGGGACACACAATGTAAACCACGAAATTTCCGAAATATTGAAAGTACCGGCTTGAAACAATGGGCCTATTTCATTCTCGCGGGAGCACGTGAAATCTTCTTTTGTCCTGGAAACTCAATTTTAAGCTCGTGCTGTGCATTTTGTTGTGGAACAGATAAAGTGGAGGCATCCACTAGTATAATCTACCCCATGGATTTTTCTCGGATGGAAAAAATAATCATTTTATAATGGACTAGAATTTTCTGACGTTTTGCCGGGGGAGTCATAATTTCATCCGAAAATCAATCGACGCTTTATAATTCAGGTTTTCTACGTCGAGGTAATAAAAGTTAACGGAATTCAGAGCGATTTGGCGGTATATATCGATTTTGGTTGTGAATCCGTGGAAATATATATAAAATTTCATTTGACAGCTATTGTCAATCCATTCTGACGCTCAGATTTTTTACAAGTCTCTAATTGTTCTTTATACGCGATGTCATACTGTTGGAAAAATTTAAAAGTCGGTTGATATATTCTATATGATGGTTCTGACGTGAAATAAAAATTTTGTTTTGAAATTCACGTGATCAATTAGAAAATGCAAAATCCTCAATAGCGAACGTTTTAAAATTTTGTTTTAATAACTACTTGTCAAAAATCCCTGAGATTCCACAAATTAAATGCAGACAAAAAATTCTCAGTGGAATTGTGACGTAAATTACCTATCAATTTTGAATATTCTTCATGCTATAGAAATGATATCCGAAATCCATATGGAATGTGAAGAGAAATTCTCAAATAAACTCCCAGCAATATTTCTGGCTTGATAATTTCTCGAACTCCACTGAACGTAAAATGAATTATTAAAATTAGTTTGCTTGATGAAATTATATCAGTCTGGATAATAGATCCTCTGTGAGCATCACCAATGGAATATCTAATTGCTAACGACTCGAGCGTATTCAGTGTACAATTATCCAAGCTCTTTAATCACACAAACAGTTTAATAATAGTTATTGATTGGCGTTCATCCTCGCTTCATTATCGCACTTTGTCAGTCTATATGTTCGCACGATACTTCGATACCAATTGACTGATCTTCCCCATCTTGTAACCACATCTTGCGCCTCGTAATATCTTGCATGTTATTGATTGTGACTGAGAAATCCATAACGCACGATAAAAGTTATCGAGCTCCACGGGGCGTGCTATTTCACACAGAGAAAGCAATTCTCGTTTCAAAAGAAAAATTCTCTCTTCCAAACTCAAATTGTCCCGTCAACCGCCGGTTAATTTCTCAAGTATTATAGACTATTACTATAAATTCCCCAACAAGTGATTCCTCCCAACTTCCAAGAATTCCACTCACTCTCCTGATATGTTCCGTATTTCACGACTAATTAACACAACTGTCCAGCAAATAACAGTAAATAACAAGTAGACAAACAAAATGAGGACTCGTTGAATGGCTAGAGTGATAATTAATTGGGCTGTTTACCCTGTATCGATGAAATAAACAAATATTAAGGTTCGATTCCGATATTCATGTTTCATCAGACGAATTCAATCAAATAAGCATTACTATAATTAACAATTTGCCCAAGCAATGTCAATATTTTCAGGTACCCCCACATCTAGAGTGTTTTGATGGTTCTGGTCCGGTCATGGAATGTTTTCAATTGGTTTTTTAATCGCGCGCAGGTGGCAATAACGGAACTTCTCGTTATTTGAATGGGACAATGAGGAAATATTTTCCATCAAATAATCTGTCACGTTTCACGTGAATACACATTGAAGGTATCTCTCGGATTCATGAATTGGCGAATGCTTTTGCTAGCCCGGACTGTATTCCAGGGAATTCTTCAGGCTTTCTACCTTCCATTTTTCTCATTTTCAGCTGTTATATGGAGCTACCATGCGTGATTCCTCTCGGTTTTTGTCAGCCATTTATTGAGCTGGAATTTATAGGGTGCAAGTTCGGTTTCTCTGATTTTTAGCATTATTTTTCACGGAATTGGGGATATTGCAGTGAGTTTGTTCGATTGTATGTTGTTGCTGAACCAATTAGTTGAATTGTTACTGAATCAATTAGGTCAGCTGTGACCGAACTAATTAATCCTATCGGATGAACTGCTCGGGGAAGTGGCATGTTTTTTCTCCATTTCTGGAGCATTTTCATGGTGACACTTTAATATTGTCACGCTTTAAAGCGAAAAACGATATTCTCTATTTCGAAACCATTATCCTCAATTTGAAGGTTCCGGTTACAAACCCCAGGGGATAGGCAAATTATTCTCCACCTTGAGGAAACATTATATTGTATTTACAATCAATTTATGTGGGAAGGCGTAAAACATTGTCTAATTTTTAATTGAATCAATTATTCTAGGGATTTTTTAAAATTTTTACTTCAGATATATGACAATCACGTCTCCATTTTATCGAATTGATAATTGAATTGAGAAAATTGAGGACAGCTGATTGCTTTTGAAAAGATCAAAGGGGCTCGACTCATGGCGAGAAAAAGTTGTAGAGAACTACCCTTGACTTCCAGTAATCGTATCTTCTGAATTTATAAAAAAATTCCAATATTTTGCACGGAGGGAAAAATATTGCAAAAAGTCGATATGCAATTGGCGTGAAATTAACCCCTGGAAGCGATAAAATGCTGCAATATCATTTTTGGTAAAGATTACTCTTATTGCTTTTCTATTCTATTTCTTTATTGTCGAGGAATCTGAATCGGAGAATAATTTCTCAGTCTTTTCTTTTATCTTTAAATGGAGCTAACCTCAATATAAAAATGACGGATGACTCGCAGAAAAATCTACCGAGATAAAGACAATATTTCCGGGAAAAACTCTGATAATTTGCGATTCCTAGCATACTTGCTCCACGATTATTCACAAATTTCAACCGTTGGAAGAAAATAGCGTTGTACCTC